GGGCGGGCCCAATCCTGCGGCGGGCCCGGGGCACGGCGGCTGCTTCGGGGCCCCCACCCCGCCGTCCCGGCCAGCGGCGGGCACTGGGCCACCGCGGAGGCCGGGGGACCAGGTTCAGCGTGGGGGTCCCCCTCCCCTGGGCGCTGCTCTCCCGCGGGGGCCAGGGCCGCCTTTGAATGACACCCGCGGGAGAGGGGATCCCCTCGAGGAGCAGCATAAAACTTTATTTTATGTAAGAACCAAACCCATGAGATATGTACATGTATTTACAAGACGAAACGAATGAGCCTCATTATTTACAAGAACTGTTCTTCACGTCGAGAAGTGATCATGAAAATGCATTTACAAGCGGGATCCAGCAGCCGTGGGCGAGATGGAGATGGAAAAGAAATGAAAGTGAAGGGCGAGGTGAGGGGCACCGGGTAGCCACGGACCCCGGTGGGGCTGGATGGCGGACCCCGGTGCTGGCCTGCCCAGACACTGTCCCCGTCCCTGGGGGCAGCGGTGTGGACCCCCTGGCCTGTCGTGTCCTGAGGAGGTGGCTGGTAGATGGGAGGTGGCTGCTTTTCCTCCTCTTTGTCTCAAAATTGCTGATCCAGCGCCTTTCTGGGCCATCTCTCCTCTTGGTGCCAGGTGCCCGGTCCCATCCCTTGCCCCACAGCCTCTGCGGGGGCAGGCTGGGAGCTGGGGGGGGGTCTCCCAGTGCCCGGGGGGTTACAGCTCACTGAAGCGCACCGCTGGCTCCAGCTTGAGGGACAGGGCGGTGAGGACCTTGTCGAACTTCTCGTAGCGCTCGGCCTGGCTGCTCTCAGCCCCACGGCTGCCCCAGAGCAGCCGTAGCTGGAACTCGGTGCTGAAGACCTCCAGCAGCTCCGCTCTGCCCTGGAAACCTGCAGAGAGGGAGAGTCAGTTCCCCAGAACGGGATGGGGACCCTGCACCCTTGGGATGCTCCGCCTGGTGCTGGGCTGGAGCTGCACACTGGGAATGCAGCAGAGGGAAAGGGGCTCTGCCATCCCCATCGCTTACCCTGCAGCTTCACCTCGGCGTTGGTGTGGTAGAGCCCGCCGTGGTGGGCCACCATCCGCGCTGCCTCCAGGTGGGCCATGACCACCTCCACGCCGTTGTCGGTGGTCTCCCAGGGCTCCGGGCTGTCTGTGAGAGCCTCATCCCGCTCCAGCAGAGTCACAAGGGGCATGACGTGGGGAAAGGTGGTGTTGGTCAGCGGCGGCCCTTCTGCAGAGAGAGGCACTGTAAGGACCCCGCACCCCTGTGTCCCCCTCCCCGCCTGCCCCGGCCCCACGGAGCGCTCGCGTGACCACACAGCCCTGCGAAGCCGGGCTGCCACCGCGTTCCCGGGAGAGGCTGTAAGGTTCAGCTGCAGCACAGCAGCAGCTGTGGCTCTGCAATCACTGCGCCCGAGGCCATCGCCTCCGTTCAACACCAGCTCCTCTCAGCCAGGCTTTCTGGTTGTGCCGGGAGGGGAACGCCGCTGTCCCTGCTCGGCCTGCATCCGTGTTTCCCGGGGCTGCGATGAGGAGGGGGTTTGCAGAGCTCAGAGTGCTGGGTGTTGGAAAGACGTGGCTTTTCATCTTCCCCGACTGGCCGCCCTGTCCCCTTGGCTTGGCACGCACTGCCATGCGAGTGCGAGGGTTTGGCTTGGCTGAGTTGTGTTTGTGCCCAGCCACTGGTTTTATTTAGTTATGAAATGCTTCCTTGGGAAGGAAGGGGCAGCCGAGGCCAAACAGGCCCTGCGGGGTGCTGGGGCGGCTCAGCAGCCAGAGGGGAAGCGCCTGGCACTGGCTGGGAGGGGGTCAGGGCTCCCAAACGCGTCCCCCCCAGCAAGGCCATGCCTGGACAAAGCGGGAAGGAGCAGGCAGGCGAGAGAAGGGGAGTTGCTCCCGTTACCTTTCCCTTCGTTCAGGCTCTTCAGGAACGGCTTCAGCTTCTTCTCGTAGAGGATCGCGCCCTCTGTGTGCCGCTGTCGCAGCACCATCCAGGTCTGCTCCAGCCGGGCGATCTGAAAGTAGATGGGGCAGATGGAGGGTGCTGGGGGCAGCGCAGCCCCCGGGCACTGAGCTCCGGGCTCGCAGGGTGCTCCCAGGGGGGCACAGCCCGGCCCCAGGGCCATGGCCCCCAGCCTCGCACACAGCAGTGCCTCCGCTCCCCAAAACAGCCCCCTCCACCAGCGCTCACGGCCAGAGACAGCACATCCCTGGCACCGAGGCTGGTTTCAGGATTTCTCCCCCCGCCCCGAGCCCCAGGACAGCAGCTTCCCCACGTCGCAGCGGCCTTGAAGATGAGATGCAGGGAGGGGGCAGCCGTTCCACCTCCTTTGTGCAGGCAGGAAGCAAGACTTCCCAGCTGGGCTCGATTTAAAATTGAATTTTAATCTCCTTTCATCTTCCAAAGGGAGCAGTGTGGCCCGGAGACGCTGCTGCCACAGCCTTGAGACTGATTTGTATTGTACCGGAGGGCAGATTCATTTCCTCCCAGGAACACAGCCCAGCACAAAACAAAAAGCCCAACCACCGAAAAACAATCGGATCCCGGCGGGACTGGGCTGTCTGCTCTGCAGAGGGGACAGCTCTTCCCCTTCCCTGCTTACACCCCAGCGGATGCAGCCCCACGCCTCTCCCTGGGCATCTTCCCCCTTCTCCCACCCCAATGGATGTTGGAGCCTGCAGAACAGCGGGAGAGGGAGGTGTTTTGGGTGAGGGGGCTGAGCCCAGGCCAGGAGGACGAAGGGAGCGTCCCCGTACCTGTGTCATTTCCAGGGCGTTCATCACAGCTGCAAAACTGAACATGTTCCCCATGGTGCTCTTCAGCTCGGCAGCCAGCTGGATGGTTTTGTGGAGCAGGGCCGCCCGCTCCTCCGTGCTGCCTGTGCAGCCCAGGATGTCCACGGCGATCATGATGGACATGGTGTGAAACCTGCCACGGGGCAAGACGCAGAACGGGGTCAGCGCGGGGGGGCTGGGGATGCTCCCGGGGGTCGGCCGGGGCTCCTCCGCTCTGGGAGGTGTGTGGACCCCTCCTGTGCCAAGCTGGGGACACCCGAGGGGAGCCGGGCTGTGCCGTGCGGGGGAGCCCGGTGGGCTCGCCTCCGCCGTGGCGTGCCGTACCGTTCCAGCAGGTCGAGGCGGAGCTGGTGGCCGTGGGGCAGAGTGAGCAGCTCCATGCCAGAGCTCACCCCCATGAGCCGCTGCATCTCCATCGTCACACCCAATATCCGGGCGACCTGGCAAGAAAGGCAAGAGCTGATTAGACCTTTGTTAATTGAGGAGAGGCTGAAGCGCCCTCGGGCAGCCTCTTGCCCCAGCCCAGCCTCTGCCTGCAGCGTGGCAGAGCCCAGCAGGGATGCTCCAATGCTTGGGGGTGCTCCGATCCCCTGCCAACCCGGAACGATCGGACGGCAGCGGTGCCCGTTCCTCCCGCCTGGCCCTGGCCATACCAGGCAGTCCACTTTGGTGATGTGTTTGGCCAGCGTCTTCACGTCCACCTCTGCCAGCAGTTCTTTGACCTTCTTGAGCACGGCCATCTCCAGGGGTTTGTTCTCCAGGGGGATAAGCAGGGACTGGAAGGCCGCAGGGTTGAAGGAGGAGGTTGTCTCCATGGTGGGGGGCACAAAGCCCATGAAGTCCATCTCTCCTTTCAGCCTCTGCCCTGCCTCTGCTTCCCCGGAGCCGTTCTCCACAGTCCCTCTCTGTCCTTCCTCCACCTTTAGCCTCTCCACATAGCTCTTTGTGGGCAGCTGCTTGGTGTCATGAGCCGGCCGGTCTCTGCTGACGGGCGAGGTGGGGTGGAGCTGGCAGTAATGCCCCGTGTCCGGGTCGCTGTAGCTGTTCACGGAGGGAGAGGGGGAGGCGCGGGCGTACCCATGGCAGGGAGTTGAGTGAGTGCTGTGGGCAGGGTCTGGCAGGGGTTTGCTGTTGCTCCCTGGGCATAGCTGGGGCTCGCTGGACCTTCTTATGACCGGAGACGCTGGGGCAATCCCGACCGCTTGGCAGGCATGCGGCTTTAGCCGTGTAACTGTAGGGAGCAGGAGAGACCCTGTTATCAGAGCCTGAAGATACGCACATGCACAGGGACCACCGATGCAGCAGCCCGGGGACACGGAGCTCAGGGAAAGCCCTGCTGCCCGAGCGGACTCAGCTGGTCCCAGGACAGCTGCATGACGATGCGGCTGAGGACTGGCTGAGGTCCCATCCTCAGCTCAAGCTCTCCATCAGGACAGCTTTCTTTGCCGTGCAAAGAGCCAGATGGGGTTTCGCTAGCAAGGAGGGATGCAGGCACTTATCACAGCCAGCTCCATCCCCCCGCCCAGGTCCCTGCATCACACCCATGCCAAGCCCAGCCTGACCCACATCCCCACCGTCCCCAGTGGGATGGAGGGGCAATGCCTACCCGTGCTGTAGGCGGGTGACGCTGGGTTCTCGGAGATGGGGGACATCGGGGAGTGCAGGTCTTGGATCTGGTCCACGCTGACGGCACAGTTGCGAATGATGTCTCTGTGGTGGGGCAGGGACACGCTGGGAGGGGGCAGATGGGGCAGGTTAGTCCCTGCAAACAGGGTCCGGGCAAGGGCAGAGGGGCTGGGTTGAGGGTTTGCTGCCCCATCACCTTCCCTCGGGTCATCACCTCCTTCCACAGCTACCCATAACGAGCTGAACCTGTAATGAACTCAGCTGGACCAATGAGTGGGCAGTCCCTGCAGGCAGCTGGGAGCAGATCGGTACCTATGTAAGGCAGAGCCAGCCCTGCCTCTGGGGAGCAGAGGAGAGGGATGCCCTGGTGCCAAGGTACTGCTTTGGGGTGAGATGACTCCAGGGTGCTGTGGGGAAGTGGGTCTGGCAAAAAAGTCGTGGGGGGTAGTTTTCTAGGGTTGTGCTGCAAGGTGGTATCTGGTGCTGGATGTGTTACTCCATTTCCATCTGAGACCTGTGTTGGGATGGCTAGATTAGCTGTTGCTTTAACCCAAAGCTTAGGAGAGGTGGAAAGTGCCTGGAAGCTGGACTCGGAGCCCAGTGGGTGCCTGATGGAGGCAGGGAGGTGCCTGGGGCAGTGGGCTGCAGTGCCATGTGCTCAAGGAGCTGTGTAGCAAGCAAGGAGGTCTTGGGCTGGTGGGCAGCAGTTATGTTGCAAGAGATGCTGTGTCTGGGGTGGGCTGAGTGTGGGGAGGATTGCAGGGAGGTGTGGCAGGTAATTTGCTGCCCTCCCTGCCATGGGTGAGGGCTGGGCTGCTGTGATGTGTTCAGTCTTGAGCACTGGGCCTCTGTGGTGGGAGGAGGATGGGAGAGCAGCAGTGGTGATAAGGGGTTTGGGGAAAATGTGAGTGGTGAGGGAAGACTGATGGATCTGGGCTCTCCTTCTGGAAACAAATACACTCTCCTGGAAGTCTGAGTGTTTTCCTTTTCCCTGCTGTAACAGTTGGTTGCCTGTTTCCTGCCCTTGTGCTGAGAAGGTTGGGGTGGTGAGAAAGCAGCTTGGTTCAAGCACAGGCTGTGGGACAGGCTGTGTCCTGCTGGGGAGGCAGGAGTAGATGGGTCCCCCCTCGGCTGCTGTGTGTGAGGATGTACATGTGGCTCTACCTTCCCTGATGGGCTCTGGGCAGCCTGGGGCTGCTGAAAGCAAACCGTGCAAAGGAAATCTCCTTCTCCACCTCTGGAGAAGCTCAGCTACTCCAAGGTTAACGCAGGCAAATCAGCCATGCAGAGGCTGTGATCTGGGGGCTGTGCAGACCCCCATCAGCACAGCTCCATCCATCTCCTCCTGCCCATCAGGCTTTCAGCTCCACTTGGTAACTCCTTGCACATGCTCCGGCTGAACAGAAAGGGCTCTAAAACTAAACGGGCCCTTCAAAAACAAATCAATAAATGCCCTCTTGGTGGCTGGGACTGGCTCTCCCCTTGTGTCTGCCTGGGAAAGCTCGGCTCCCTGGCTCTGACAAGCCCTGACACGCTGGTAATCCTGGACTGAGCGACTGTAAAACACTCTGGCTTCTGGCCTGCGATGCTAAAGTCATGTCTGCTTGCTGGGTGTCTGCTGCGGTAGCTCAGCGTGGCTGGCAGCTGGCCTGTGAGAAAACCCCAGTTCCAGCTGGGTACCAGTTCCTCCCCCATTCCTTTGCTGGTCTCTCCCCACACCTGAGTGGGGAGTTTCCATCCCCAAACCCTGCCTTGCCCCCAGGGAGCAGGGACAAAGTGTGGCCCTGCCTCTTTCCCAGGGGCTGGTCCTCTGCCCAGATGAGCTGGGATGAGACCGTGTGCTCACCTGGTCGGGCACCCCTCAGCCCTGGTGATCTTGTCTGCTGTCAGGCCGTCCGTCATGGTGATGCTCCTCCTCTTGATGTGCCCCCCTTTCTGGGTGGTGGGGCTGTGGGGTCCCCCATGCTTGCCATTTGCCAGCCCGTAGCTGGCTTCCAGGTAGCGCAGGGGGAAGGTGCGGTTGATGGGGCAGTAGACAATGGCTCCGCTCTGCTCAGAGATGGCCTTGCGGTTGCCCACATAGAAGCGGACGAGGGCGGGCACATTGTCAAAGCTCTCCTGCTCGAAGAGGTACTGGACGCGGGTATGGCCCTCACTGGACTTGACTGTCACCTTGTTGATCTTGAAGTGGAGGGGTTCATTGCGCCAGCGGCACGTCAGCACGTAGTCACCCAGGCTGGTGAGCGAGTCGCGGATGAGGAAGTCGCCGTTCCTCTGCACAAGGCTCTCTGACACCTGGCAGGGGACAGGGCAGTGGCTCAGGCACAGCCACACTGGAGGGGCCAGGGGGCACGGGCGGATGCCCCACTGGGGTGTTATTTGGGGCATTGGCTTGTTCCCCTTGGCCCTGGCTCTGAGCCGCAGGAGGGCATTTCCCGTGGCAAAACCAGGCAGCCCAGAGCTAGTGAAGCCCTTGCCCAAAGGCTTCCCTGGAGGACAGGCTGGTGGTTCTGTGTGGCCTCGGGGTGCTCTCCCCAGGCAGCCCAAGCAAAGGGTGCCCAGAGCCACCCACCTTCCCCTCCTCACCTCCCGGGGGATGCGGCCGTGGTACCAAGCGTGGCTGCGCAGGTCGGTGCTACTCAGCTTCAGCTCCTCTTCCAGCTCCTTGTGAAGCTTCTCCGGTGATGAGTCGAGGATGTATTTCTCCTTGGAGAACTGTATAGGGGAGGAGGGAGTGTCAGCTGGCGCAGCAGTGCGAGGCCTGGGGAGGGAAGGGCTGACCCTGGGATGGGCTGGCAGGGTCCCCACATAAGGACTGCAGGACCCTCCGTGGCACTGGTGATGCCACCCTCCAGGAGCAGACCTGTCCCCAGGGGACAGGTAGCCCAGAGCTGTGTGTGAGGATCGCCACTTGTGGGACAGCATGCGGGTGGGGTAATGTGCCTGTTGATGGTCAGGTCCTGCCACCAGGAGCACTTGGAGGGGCATGTCCCCATCACACCTGACCACCCTGTCCCCAGCATGCTGCCCCTCTGCCCCGGTGTGGTTGGGCAGGAGAAAACCTGCCTCAGCTCCCTCTCAAACATCTCCAGGTCTGAACCACCATGGGAAGTGCTCTGCCAGGAGGAAACCTGCATTATTCCTCCTCCTTGAAACATCTGCTGCAGTCCCCCCTCCAAAGGGTTAACATGCTGTGTTTAGCCTGATGGTGGCATGAATAGTAATGACAAATGTAAAGGGAACCTTCTGCATCGAAATTAGCTTTTACCGGCACTGGTGCACCTGAGCCTGGAGGATGCAATTTGCCCCCTCCCTTCCCCCTGAGAGATAAGGGATAGCGTCATGTCTCCTGTCAGCTGGAGCCCGCCACGCTCCCTGCCCGCTGCTTTGCCAGCATTCCCAGAGGGCAGCCGAGGATGCCGAGCTGCCGGCATGGTGGAGTCAGTGCTTGTTTGGGGAGGCGAGTGCAGGCTCAGGGTTCCTGCGTGCTCCCCACGCAAAGCTGGTTCCCCCAGTCGACGTGGCGGCTTTGAGACGAGTCCTGCTGTGGTGCCAACACCGGTGCCTTGGCAGCACCGTGTGGTAGAGCGGCCTGGGAGCCAGGACTCCTGGGTTCCCCCCACACCCTAGATGTGTGCTGCCCTGCAAGGGGGACGTATGTGCCACTGCTGTGGACCAGGGAGCTTGGATGGGGCTACTGGGGGGTCCTCTTGCACCGCTCCCATCAGCAAGGGTGGCTCTGTGGCCTGGCTCCCCCTCCGGTGGCAGTGCCAGCGTGAGGAGGCACTGTAGGCTGGCCCAGCTCCTTGGTGCTTGTTAGGGCAGGATGCTGCTGGTGTCTCGGAGGACAGGCACGGGCTTGAAACCCTGCTGGCACTGCCGGAGGAGCAGCCTGGCACTGATGGCTGGCCTTGTGCAGCAGCTGGTTCCCCAGAGCACCGGGGGCTGCAGCCCCGTGCCCATGTACCAGGGACCTGCCTCAGAGCTGACCCCTTTGCCCAGCACCTCATCCTTTGCATCCCATATTGATTCCCTCTGCTCTTCTAGCAGTTGTGAGCAGGGGAAAGCGTAGAGCACTGTGCTGCTCTCCTGCCTTGTGCCCACTGCTCTCGGGGTGCTCCTGGGACCCCACCGAGTCCCTCAGCAGGAGCCTGACCCCAGGGCCCCCCATTCCCCAGGGCAGATGCTCCATCCCCTGTGGTAGCAGCGATGCTGTCCCAGGGACCCTGCCCCAGCCTGGGGAGGGGGAAGGAGGCTGCAAAGGGCCTGTGTGATGGACTGTGCTCTCCAGGGCTTGCCCTCACCAGCCTGGCCTTGCCCCTGTTCCTCCTTTCCCAACTCCTATTGAGTCAAAAGGTGCTGGGACAGTGGAAGCAGCCTGTGAAAACAGTACGGACTGAACTCACACTTTATTATCCGACTGTGTTTACCCCCCCCATGAGAGAGTCCTCTCTACAGCTGTGGGGACCTGAACCGGGAGACACATCCTGACTGTCCCCTCCTGACTGAGGGTTGTGGGGAGCCGAGCACTCACTGCTGCTCTGGGGCCCTCGTGGAGACAAAGCCACCCAGTTCTGCT